ACCAGAGAGGTAGTGTTACTGAATGGACATAATGGAGAGTTGGCTATCAGTGGAAGACAAATTTAAGTGAAGATACACACACACAGACCCCCTAGATCAACGCAAGGGAATTTACATTGACCTAACTTTATAGAGTAAACCAAGCCAAAAAGAAGCAACATAGTGTGTTAGTCTGACTACTTGAACACTGTAGAAAACAGCTCATTACCAGACCATTTTTAGGAATGAAGGAATTAGCAGCAAGCTACCAATTATGTGGCTTCCTATAATGCTATACAAATAAATGAAACTTCAGTCTAGATGTTAATGAGTTTTACAACATCAAAACAGAGAAAGCTTCGAAATTTAAAAAAAAGAGAAGAATGTCACCAGACTTTACTGAGACGTAATCAAGAAAAATGCAAATATCGCAACAGGATAAGTTAGTTTCAGAAGCATTAGCTCAATGATGCAATTGTTGGTGTTGTGGCTGACATGCAAGACTAGAACAAGTCCTGGTTGAGTGTGGCTTCAGGTTACTTAATGTCTCTGTGCGTCACTTTCCCTAGTTGTAAAATATGGGCACATGCTACTTCCTTTACTTCAAAGAGGCTTTGCAAAGCTTAATTCACATGTGTGTTATAGCTTGTCTACACTTGAAACACTACAATGACTCAGCTGCAGCCCCATAGCTGCTGTGTTTCAGTGCAGGTACTGTATAAGCTGACAGGAGGGTTCTCTCATCCACATAGGAAATCCACCTCCAAGAGGCAATAGCTAGGCTGATGGAAGAATTCTTTCACCAACCTAGTGATGTCTATGTGGGGGCATAAGCCAAGTTACCTACATCACTCATGGGTGTTGGTTTTTTCACACCCCTGAGAGACTGGTGGCTCGATCTAATTTTATTGTAGCCCAGGTCTCAGATGGAGATGTGGAGTAGCAAAGTATTCAACAGCCAAATCCACAGTTACCTGAGTTTGCTATTAAATCCCTCATGCTAAGAGAGACTGAAGGATGACAGTGGGTGTTATTAAACCTACAGCAAACAACATATCCCCTCTTCAAGGCATTACAACTCACGCTAGTGTCTGTTCCAGAGTGAAGTGCAGGTTGTGATCATGGAGATGGACAGTTTACATTTTCTAGAGCAAGGGCAGCTAATGTTTTGCCTATGTCCAAATGTCATGGTGAAGATAGAGTCAAAGTCCAGCTTCCAGCAAAAAATAAAATATACCACAACCAGAATAAGTAAATCAGATGACTCGGGAATTTATTCAAGGATTTGACCCAATGTCCACCTCCTGACCACTCGGTTTTAGAGTGGTGCTTCAGAGGAAGTTGCCGGTACCCTCAGCTTCCTTAAAACACACTTCCTATGTAAGACATCTGGGCCAAATTATGAAGGTTTGAGTGTTGTATTATGAGTGAAAACAGCCCTGGACATGCTCCAGAAACAACATACTGTAGTGCATTCAGACAGTTATCCTGCCTAGGAAAGGTGTTTGATGCCTCGTTAATTATTATAGGTTAAGAGCTATTAGTATAGCAATCTGGAGGTACTGACTGATCCTCTCTCAACTGCTTGCCAGCCCTTAAGTAACAACTGTTACAAGGCCTGAGGACAAGCATGCTCAGTGGTGAGGAGGGAAGGGGCAAGAATGGAAGAGAGCTGTGGTGGAGCTTCTCAACTAAGCACATTGCACAGATGCAGGAGCCTCACAGGGAGGCTGACAGTGGCTTTACGTAAGGATGGCAACTTCTTCAAACACAGGCCAGTCCTCACAACATTCATTCCCAGACATTCAACTGCTGTTTTAAACATGGCCTACAAGCAGGGGAAGATGGGAGGTGCGTAAGGACACAAAGCAATCCGGTTGTGTCCTTGTCTGCTTCTTTACAGTGCATAACAGCAGCATAAAATGATTGTGGGTGATTTTTGTTTCAAACAGTAGAAATCCAGGTCCGGTCTACCTTGTTCTTCCTAGAAGACTTTACAGACAGCTAGAGAAGTTAAGCACTGTTTATTCAGATTGTTTAGCTCCATTTAAAATAGTCTTGGAAGGCAAGATGAGAAACCTCTCTGCTTCATAAAAGGCAGGTAAAAGTCACAATCCAAATCGGAGATCTCGTGTGATTCCCTACCCAACCAGGAAACACCCACCTGGACATTCCTGAAGTTTCTAAAGACGAAATGCAAGCAGAAATACAAATACCACCCATGGAAAACCTTTGTGAAATTATTAAAAAGCAAAAGAGGACATGGCCCATTTCCTCAATCATCATCTGCACAGCTCGTCTTAAAGCGTTCAATGTCAGCCACAAGCCATTTGATATCATTAGTGGTCTAGAGACCATTAGAGACCAATACTGTCTTGAAATCAAACTAGAAGCATATTTCTAGTTTACATGAGGGGGATTTTTTAAATATAGTTCTGTGGCTACAATTACTTACTGGCATTAAAGTAATTGTTGCCTCAATCTTATGATTATATTGTAGTTTTGCCTGTAATATAGTTTAACTTGGATCAATCATCTCTGCTTGCGGTGTTCAATCGTATTAGCAAATTAGGCATGAGTTTCCCCAGAAAGATTTTGTACCCGTGCGTGCACACAGACGCTATCCACCACTATATATGGAAATTCCCAGCTTCTTCCTTTTTAGGATGTCATAGGATAAATTATTTTAATACAAAGCTTTGGTTAAGTGATTGATTGAGATATATGGCCATAAATTCCATCCAGATGGTCATTAAACCCTAGTAAATATTCAGCACCCCCATTCATTACAGCTTAATTATATGTATACTCAGCTGTCAGCACAAGTCTTCTACCACCACCATTTTAGTTATTTTACGCATGTCATAAATTCAATAATACACAAGTAAAGTTGAAGTATAGTGGGTTTACTTATTCAAAGTGTGGCCAACCAAACAAATTAGAGAATTAATTAATACACAAGGAGCTTGTGTTGTGAGTGCGTGTGTATTCATGATCAGTAGTGTGGGTTTAATTATTGCTATTTTCCCTTTTCTTAATGAAGGCCAATCTAAAATGGATGAGTAGCAACTCAGAAGGGGGCCATAAGATCTCACTTCACAAACAGGCCCAATTTGTGTGTCTGTCACATCACTTTTACACTCTGCTGACTTCATTATTTCTGACAGACACTGATGTGAGAAGAACAAGGCCCGATTATTTTGTCCTTTCTAGCCGGCCAGGAATGCGACTTGGGTGGCTACGAGGTCATGGACAAGATCCTGAAATGGCACTCAGCATGGCCACTGCAGAGCATATCTCGCTATTTGCGCTGGTTTATTACAGCAGAGTTGTGGAATTTGCACAGGGCTTAAAACAACAAATGTCAGGCAAAAAGTTACTTTGAAAAAGTGTTGCATGTCTCATGGGGTTTTTAATTGCTGCATCTCCTTCCATAAGAAGGGGAATGCAGGATATCCTTTGGTGAAATCCATTATTAGTAGTCCTTCTTTGGAATGCTGTAGGACTCGGAGGATGCAACAATTTCCACTCCTCATCCCAAGTCTATACTGACACTTGACAGCCCTCTAACTTTCTGGCTCTGGGGTGTGAAAAAAACCAAAACAACAACAACAAACAAAACAAATCATTCTCTCCCTCCTCTTCTTTGCCCCAAGTGCAGAAGTAACAGTGTAAAATGCCAGTGTGAACCAAGCTATAGTGATAAGGGCCTCACTCCCAGTCCTGTTAGCTACTCCCGTCGCAGAGATGTTTTACATAGAGCTCTCCCAGCACTCATGCTGTGGCCACATTTTCAGTGTAAAGCACAACTGCTTAAAGCGCAGCCAGAGCAAAGTGTAGACAAAACTTTAGACTAGGAAGATTTGGGGGGGAAGGGGGACATGGCAGAGTATTCAGGATATGAATTCAGGTCAGTAGACATACAAGGACAGGGTCACTTTATTGTCTCTTAAATTGACTTACCATCACCTGTTCTGTGCGAGTTTTCATGGGAGCAGGGAATTAGGTTCTGTTTTTTAAATTCACTGTTTTAAATACCACCATTTATTTATTAATTTTTTAATTTTTGTAAAATTTCTTTGAAGCAAGATTCAAGAGATTTTTTTTGCTCTATGGATGTTTAGGAAAAAAAAGTCTCTTCGGTAAGAGAAACTGACTGGCTACGAGAGAAAGGAACAGTGAAATTGGCTATGCACAGAGTACTGTGAAATACATAAAAGAAGCAAATGGAAAAAGAGAGAAAAAGTTTTCATGCTAGTTTCTTTCTGTTATCGTAATGCTCTGGTTATTAATATCATCTAGCATTATAGTTAGTCACTCCTAAGTATATTGTTTGGCAACACTATCAGTTTTCATGTTGATGAGAGAACTTTAATTGACAATACTGGAAACTTCTAAAGAGCAACTCCAGCTATAAATAAACCTGCAAATAATTTAGGACATTTATACTGCAAGCAAAAAGTTTTAAAGGGGAAACATTAGATAAAAACAATTTAAATAATGAGATTATTTAAAGAAGTGGTGATTGGGATCTTTTATTTTTAATGGGGTATACTATTTTTACCTCTATTAAATTACGTCCACATTAACAACTGATTCCCCTCCCCCCCCCCATCCACCTCCAGCTATCTCTTACGTTTACGATAGTGTAACCTTACACTGAGTTAAAGGTGGGGGGAAGTAGTCAAAGACAGTGGAGAATTAGACAGCCACTTTTCTGCATTTGCAGGAAATACTGACAATTCAATTTCTATAAAATAATTCTATTTCTAACTCACTAAAACTAATAAAAGTACAATCAGCACCCTGGTGTAAGGGATCAAAGCACAGTGTCCTCATAACTTGCCATCGTTTTTCTCACTGAAGTGGAGGTATGTGTTTGGAAACAGATGTTCAAAAGAGTCAAAGAAAAATAAACTGTCCAGCAGGATTTTTATCCCCAACCTCCCTGGGACTCAACAACATACTATTTTTGCCTTTTTGTTTTAAGTGACATCTGTGCTTTGAACAGCATACAGTACCTTGATCCATTGCTGATGAGAATGCTTTCCCTTATTGTTAATGTGCAGTAATACCACACCAGTAGGAAGTTAAACACTTCATCTGTCACCCTATCAAAAAGAAGAAGAATTAAAAAAACACCAATCCCACACCTTTGTTATAATAAATATCCATTTCAAGATTATTCTCCTCCCTACCCCAAGAAAAGTATATGTGAAAATAGCTTGTGTGAAACGACAGACATTAATTCCCTGATCTTGAAAGCCCTTTGGTACATACCTAATGGTATACATGACTAATCCCGATAAACCCATACTGTGTTGTTTCTTCAACAACAATGCAAATTGGGGATGGGATAGTGACTTCTTTGGACTAGAAAAGTGCCATGTGATAAATGACTTGGGATCCTAGGCTAATGAGCAGGTGCGTAGAGATGACATTGATTCCATTTGAAGGAGGGAGTGCCCCAAAGAAGCGGCAGATGATCCAATTTACACAGGCATTTTCAGGGTAATTCAATGAGAAGATGCTATTAGATCTATATAAATCCAATCAACTAATAACACAGTAGAGCACTGCACTCTGTTTTCAAGACCTGAAAGTGTATTCTATTTTGACATCCTAAAGTATGAAGTCTAGATGACCTTGAGCACGTATATTGCACAGAAATTCTTTTTTTTAAATTTATGCTTATAGATGACAGTGTTGGCTTTGATTTGCATATTCCCCTGAAATGTTTGCAGACCCAACACTACAATGGTAAGAACATATTAACAAGAAAAAAAAAATCAAATAGCCTACGATTGTCCAAGCTGAGCTATATACATAATGTAAACAAACAAGTAGAACAACCAAAAAGTTTTTAGCTGTAATAATATATGGTGCTGCCACTAGCAGCAAAGGAAAGAAAATTAGTTTTAAAAGATATGGTGCCTGATCTTTAAATATTTCCATATTTGAATAACTTTATGCACATCCTTACCTCCACTGAAGAAAGTGAAACTAAGTATTTTCAGGAACAGCACTAACTGGACAGTACCTCTTAACAGTAAATTCTGCACTAATCACAATGGAGTTAACAGTTTTATTAACTTCTGATATTAAAATGTAAAGAAGTTAGTGCTGAATGTTTAGTTAGAATCCACTAGATGTCAGACTGTTTAATCAGAAATAAAAGTACTGCCTTACCTGTAATGAAGAATAAACCTGCATGCTACTGCACCAAGTAACAAGATTATTGTCAAATAAAGTTTGAATTTTTCATATTCATCTTTGTAGGCAAACCTGGGATGACAGAAAAAAGAAAAAGGATTAATATTTCTACCATTAAAACATGTAAAACACACCAAACGATTTGCGATTTCTAAGCTGATTTATATTCTAAAAAGTAGATTTCTTATTCTACACATATGTAGAACACCCTATTTATCCAAAGACAAAAAAACCCATATTTAATATTCAGAAAAAATTTTCTTGAGTGGGGGGGGGGAAGAGGAGGAGGAAGGGAAACAAGTTTTAAAATAATCCTGAAGAACAGTCCTTCCTCATCTCTATCTCCCATCTCCCCAAAAAAACACAAACACAAAACCACAATTTTCTCCCTACTGAGAGAATGCAAGCATGGTGTAATAGAAGTAAGACCTTTGTACTTGTACAGCACCACTGAAAGAGTCCTCACTTAGAATTAAATCCATGTCAGTGAAGAGCTTTATTAGTCTCAACATCCTGCAAGTTAAGTAAATATTAGACTACTTCTTTCACATGGCAATAGGAGAAAAGTGAAAGCAGCGTGACTATAGCTGAAACATCAGATCTCTTATTTAATTCAGAGCAGACAGGGTTGCCATGTGAATGGCTGTGACACCTCCCAGATAAGCTATTATCTGGGATGTGGTTCATAGTTTGCACTATGCCACAGTCCTAGTTCAGCAATTCTCTCAGTTTCCTTCCATGGAGTAAGTATGCATATCTTCCATGTTGGGTCCATATGCACCCAGTGGGAGGAGGAGCCCTGCCTTGGCACAGTTGGGTCATTGATTAGATTTTTGTTTGTTATGTTGGCAGCTGCGCCAGCCTTAGACCATGTTCAGTGACTGTCCTTATCTTCTGCGAGGGGGACAGTGGCACGAGAAGAGTTTTCTTGATATTAGTCGGTGGCAAGATAGGTCTCCTCTTATCATGACCTTTGCAATTCGTGGAATCGCTATTTCTGGGTCTTCTGCCCAGGCTTGGGGAGGAAGTGGCAGTAACTGGGAGTCAAAGGGAACTCACTGTAGCTGCTGAGTGTGCCCTGTGGCTCCTAGCCCCCCAGAGTGAGTTTGGGAGCTGCAGGGAGTTCACCACGGAGGCCAGGAGCCACAGCTCTTAATATTCACGAAGTCACCATTTGTGGTGGCAAGGGTTTCCTGTAGTGTCGTATTTGCCATGATTTTTATGTACACCATCACAGCATCGCCCGATATTTGCTGGCACAATGCTAGCCAATGGCATGGAAGAGCCATTGACCCCAGGATGCTGCTGATTATGCAAAAGGAAGCATTAACGGCAGTGTTCATTAAAATGGTGCATGGGCTTCGGTGCCAAGCTAGAGCACAATATTCCTCTGTGGAAAGGACCACATATGGCGAAAGAGCGCCATAACGCAATTATGCAAATGAAGCACGGGATATTTAAATCCTCGCTTCATTTGCAATTTCGGGTGTCTGCATTTGCATTCCTCTCTCGAGGGAGGAATGAAGTGGATATACCGTTGGAGATTAATCTAGGTTTAAAAAGATATTGGTGAGGCAAGATCCAGACCTTAGGTTCCCCAACTGCCAAGACCCCACATTTCTACTCAAAACTATAACCTATAGTTCTAATTCTAAGCCCACACATAGTCTGTCCTCAGTAACACCGGACCTTAACATGGTCATACAATCTGGATTCACACAGAGAGTATCTTGAAGACAATGGTGTTACAGATGTTTAACTGGAGGTCATAGTCTCATCTGCAGATTCTTTTACCACCATCAATTAGTTACAAGCCAGAGAGAATCCATCTTAATTCAAATTAGAAGGGCTAGTTGCAGGATATTTCTCCTTTTTTATTTTTAAGAGCCATTGACACCCAATGCAGCTGGAATCCTTTTACAGATACAAAAAGACTCAAAACTATTTGTGTTCCTCTGCACTAATAAGTCCATGTGTGTGGCCCCAAATATTACACAAATTGTTTAAAAACAAGTGATCAGATTGTATTCAGTGGATTTATACCATGGATAAATTTGGCTCAGTATTTTGAACAAACAGTGCTAGCTGAACCTCCCAAATCTGGGACTCTCTGGTGCAGCAACATCCGTGGTATGATAGGGCCCAGATGTTGCTGGACCAAAGATCCCTGGAGGTGGGAGTCAGCTGGAAAACACAGAGCTGGGGAACCCCAGTCTGGCTGAGGAACTCCCGGCATCAGATGGAGGTGAAGAGCCCCGCCTTGGCTAGAGACAGGCATCAGCAGGGCCAGGAGACGAATGCGGAGCTCCTAACCCCAGCTGTGGAACCCCCAACAGCAGCAGGACCAGGCAGCTCCAAGCCAGGGAACCCTGGGAAAGCCCCGGTGGGAGCAAGACGTGCTCTGTCAGTGGGGATGGTGGTGGCCAGGCAGCCCTAGCTGGGGGAACCACAAACTCTCAGCAGTAGCTGGCATGGCAGCTCTGGCCAGGGAACTCGCCAGTGTTATTTAGGCCAGGCGGGACCAGGGAGCTCCTGGCATCAGTGGGGCCAGGGAGCCCCACCAGGAGAACCCGGGGAATTCCCAATGGTAGGCACAGGGGTGGCTGGGGAGCTCCAGCCAGAGAATCCCCGGCAGCAGTGGAGCCAGATGGCAGCAGGGGAGTCTTGGCCAGGGAATCCCCAGCAGCAGTGGGGCTTCTGAACGGGGCTGATAGCAGTTGGGTGGCTGCAGAACGGAGCCCTAGGAACCCCAGTGACAGCGGGACCAACAGCAGCCAGGTGGTCCTGTCCAGAACCTGGGGAACTCTGGCATCAGCAAGCAGCAGCAGACTGGGAGCCCCAGCAGGGATGGCAAACCCCTGGTCCAGCAAACACCCTGGTTCAGGACTGCTCAAGTCCCAAGGATGCCAGCCCAGGGAGGTCCAACCTGTAGTACATAGTTCTACTGTGTGATCTTGCTGAGCCAGTACCCTGCTCTGCTACTGAAAACAGTTATCTATGTTGTAATCTTCAACATCTGTCTTCTAACTAGAAGGAATAGTAAAAAGGAAGTGAAAAGCCCACTTACTTTGCCTGATTACTCAGAAGAGTTACATTCACATTTCCCAGCACCAGATTTAAGTATAAACTGAAAGACAAAAACCATCCAAAGACTAGTCAGTCCATTTACTACAAAGATTCACTGCACCATAAGCTAGACAAACGATCCAAGGGCAGTAAGCAGTACTGTGTATTTTAGTCTAGGTTTTTAATAAAGTTTGAAATGTAGCAGGTGCACTAGAAATACACCTCAGTACTCTCCTCCAAATGGGCCCTCTATATTAGCTGGTGATCCGTCAGCTTTTTTAAAATCAACATTTTAATGAGTCAGACAGAAAAAGTTTCTGGTTAGAGGCATCTTTACTGCTTATCGCAGGGGTCGGCCACCCCCAGCACACGTGCCACAGGCAGCACACAAGCCGATGTTTACTGGCTCGCAGGGAGAGAGCTCAGCCCCGCCCATCCACCCCCACACAGCAAGAGCCTGTGCTGCCGCCTGAGCCTTGCGATGGGGGCGCAGCCACAGAACCAGCTCTGGGGGGCGGCTGCAGATTGGGCAGTGTGCCAGCCAGCTAGCGGCTGGTGCTCTCCCCCCTTCTCCAGCAGAGAAATGATCCTGTGGAAGCAGCTGAGCTGCTGGGAGGCGAGGCTCAGCTGGGCAAGCTCCAGGGGCCAGGGGTTGGGCCATGTGGGCTGCTCCTTCAGGAGCAGGACTGAGACTGGGGCGGGGAGTTGCTCCTGGGCAGCTGGGACAGGGGCTTGGGCCTCATGGCTGCTTCTTCAGTAATGGAGCCGCAGTAGTGGGGCAGAGGCAGCCCAGCTGGGGATGGGGCCAGCACGTGTGTGACTGCAGGGGGTGGGTGGGGGAACGTGTGGGAGGGTGGGTGCTGGCTTTGGGGCAAGGTGGAGGCAGGGAGGTAGTTGTTCTGCAAGGTGGGGGAGGGGAGGATAACATGTCTGTGCTTTAGCTGGGAGTTAGGGCAGGACAGACCGCTGGTGCCTGCTACTTTGAGAAGCAGGATTTTATCCCAGCCCCCACCTGAGCTGGGGGGAGCTCTATTAGGGGTGGGGTGGGTAAAAGGGGGATGTGCTGGCATCTGTGTGGTGAGAGGCAAGCAGGGGATGGTTTATTTGGGGTGTCTAACTGAAAAAAAAAATCAGGCTTCTGTGCTGCTTAAGGTATCAACCTACGAGCCTGAGATCAGAGAACTCAGCAAGGCAAAGCAAGGCCAAGGATCACACTAACCGGTAATATCTGCATCTTTATTCATTTATTAGCTGCTGTATGTAGGACTATTATTGACTTGAAAAGTATCACCGGCTCTCAGACCCAAACATACAGGTGAGTAAGTTAAATCTCCACACACCACTTCTGAAAGGTTGCTGACCCCTGGCTTATTAGTGTTAGGGATCAAGAGAAATTATGGACTCGACTATTAAAAGAATCAGGGTCAGAGAAACTGGATTAGTGTTTTTACAGCAAGATAGCAACATCGGCAAGAAGCAGCCCATGAATGGTATCTCAGTGTTAAGACAGTACCACAGATGAGTGCTCCCTTGGTACCAAAGAGCAAAAGCAGATAAGATTACGCTGCAATACAAGAGTGTTTACGTGAATATTTTGAACAATAAAGTTCCTGGTTAGCCAAGCCTCACAGCCTATATAGTTTTGTTTTTAAGTGAAATTTACTTCCGGTCCACCTTTCCCTCACTATTTTCTGCAAGTAGTGAGGTGACCCTGAGCATCTGTGTATTTCAGAGAATTCTATCCTTAACACGTGATGTGGCATTCATGGCAGATTTTAAAAGGCAACTGTTTAATTATTTCAGAAAAGACTCAACGAAATAAAGTATTTGTAACAGCTTTATCTTGGCAAAATTAATGTAATACATAAATACATACCCATTTCGCTTTGGTAAATAGGCTTCCATGTCAAAGAAAACATTTTGCCTTTCTTTGATCTGGATGTTAATTTGCTGTATGAGATCACATTCTTCGGGACTAGATGTGTATTTGCACCTGTGAGGATGGTGAAAGCACAGATCCTTTTTACAACCGTATTTTAAGAGAGGATAAAAGTCAGTTTAAACTTGGCAAGTTTTTTAAAAAAATAGAAAGGTTCCTTATCTGCACTTCTAACAGCAAAAACCTAGCTAAGATTTTTTTCAGTTTTAACAGTTCCAGTTTACTTTCTTCTGTTTATGCTGTTTCTCTATTTTCACTGTATGTTCAACTTGAGCTACAGAAAGACTAGTCAAGGACTATAACCTAAAATGAACATTTTAAATCAATTTCACTTTGTCTCTCAGTTCATTAGCAGGAGACTATATGTTAGCAGTTTGGGAGATCTTAAGTAACATTAAGAATCCCTTAAAAAAAAAAAAAAAAAAGCAGCACACCTTGTCATTATCCTTAATTTTTTAAAACAGTTCAGCAGATGCATTACAAAACCTTGGTTTTTACAAATTCTAAACTGATTTGTGTTTTATCATTAAAAAAACCTCCATCCTGACCATAAACTTCATAAGGGGTAATCTGAAGACAAATACAAAACAAACCCAATACTATAGACTCTTTCAGAGTGACAACAGACATCCTACAAAGCTCCTAGTGAAAGGACATTAAACTAATTTAAATCTAAGAGATCGATTAGGTCTCTAACACAATTAATGGTATGTTACATGGGCAAAGGCAGGGGAAAAAGAACTTTCTGATCAGCTCTTTCTACTGCACCAATTCTAATGAAATCAGCCATTCTGGGGACAGTAGGTGGTGTCAATTTAAGCATTGCTGAAAACAGACAAATATTAGAGCAACAGGAGGGCTTCGGATGAACTGCTTTTTTAATCAGTCATATAAAGATCATCCTTTTGTACCAAAAGAGAAAATCCAGGGGAAGGGAGTAGGGATGTTAAATTGCGAGTAACTGACTAATTGAATAGCTGATGTATTTTTGCATCGACTATTCGATTAGTCGATAGGGCACCTCCCCTAGGGCTGTTGCTTCACTTCAAAGTCAAAAGCACCATGTGGAGCGCAGCGCCTGCTGCCGCTTTGAAACACGGTGTGCAGCCCAGGGACACCCCAGCTGGCCCCGGGGCTGCACACAGTGTTTCAAAGCAGCGTCACATGGAGCCTGAGGTCTCGCCCCAGGCTCCACATGGTGCTGCTGCTTTGAAGTACCCCCTTCTTTTCTGTCCCTTCCCTCCCTCCCTGCCTCTATATGATAGAGGCAGCAAAGTGTGTGTGGGGGAGCGACTATAAAAGTGTAGCTTAGTCTGTCTGTTAATCAGCTACATATGATCTAAGACTGACCGTAAACGCTAAAAGATAAATAATTTGATGAGCTCAGAAGCAAAAGTTAACATTATAATGTAATCTTTAAATCTCAAATTATCAAAAATACTTTGCTTGTGGAAATATAAACCAGAAGAGATGCCCCATACATCTATCTCTATATGTAAAGTCATTATAGTTTTTTCTGTAGATTGAACAAGAATGTAGCTTTGTTGTTGCAAGTTTTGGGGCTTAAAATATTCCTAGGTCACATATGATTTCTCACAATCTATGACTTAGGGAAAAAGCTACAATTAACATGGAGACCATAAAGGCAATATTTTTAGCCTAGTGCCCACAGAATTAAGCATACAGCTCCTCTTGTTGGTGGGAGTTGAATATTCAAGCACCACAACAGGAGAATGTTACTGAAAATTAAAATCCACCTTCAGATGCTACCAGATGGCTACCAGCAAACTCTTGTGGCTTTTCCATAAATAGAAGAAACGGAGTTTTATCTTAATAAAACTACAGATAACAGGCTAATTTTGCAATGTAGTCTTGCTATATAAAAAAATTCCTACAACCAAATATATTGTAGGGAGCAATTCCATACTGGCTCATGAGGCACACACTGGGTGATCTATTAAATCCTGTTTATTATATCAAAACTAACACTGCTGTCAATGTGAGGTTGCTCCCTTTTTAGGAGACTGGACAGATAGCGAAATAGTATTTATAGCCTATATTTCAGTCACTCAAGAGGAACCCACCCACTCACGACTGTCCCATTACCGTTGGAGGCTGTATTTCAGGTCTTTTAACTTCCTTTTTTGTTTTCGAATGGAGCTGCTGCAAGCATCCTGCAAGTTATTGAGTTCTTCAAGTTTCTGTCTATATACCTTATGAGTTTCCTGCAAGAGAGCAGAGAAAATAGGTAGAAAGACGATGTAATCTGCCCAAAAAGACCTTTGGAGAAAAATAAAAACAAAACCATGCCTGTTTTTCCTGGGAGAATAGATGCTCAGGCTGCTTCCCTAGATTGCTCCTGCCTACAGAACAAGTTTGCTTGTAATTGTGGGTGCCATTTTCACCATGCAACCTAGTTTTGAAATGATTAACATCTGCATCTGTCATTGACTGCAACTGGAGTCAAGGATGCTCAACACTATAAACAAAAACAAAAGTCAGTTGCATCATTTTGATGCCACTCCTGGTGGGGGAAGAAATCTGCTGCTGGAATAGGGCCAGCTGCTTCCTTTGTCATAAATTGTTTTCATTCTGTGCAAGGTTCTCAGGATACCCATGGCACAAATGACCAGGGCAAGTGATTGTAAAGTTTCCCTTAAAAAAATTAAGAAGTCTAAAGAGGATGATGAATGGCTCTTGATTTCCCTTGCTGTTACTGAGGATGTTGTTTATACTTCATAAGGAGCTTTCCCACTCAAGAAATCCGCTCCTGTTTCAGCCTATCGTAAAGTCCAAATTCTACATTCCCTCCGAATCTGTTTCTACGAAATGGCTGGTTAAATCCCAGATCAAGAGCTTCAGTTACACTGTACAATAAAATGGGAGATCAAGAACTAGGAAGAAAAGAGGAAAACTGATCTTGTTTAAACTAGGAATGTTAGAGTGTAAACAACAAACAGTTTAAGCAAGAAGCAGATGCTTATCAGTGAATGGTGCTGGTTACACTCAATGAAGCCTCCTCCCTGGGAGCCAAGTGGGCAAGAACTACCCGCTCCACGCTGGGGGAGGAGGCTTCTCCAAGGCAGGGAACTGGGCCAACAGGGGCTGGCAGCCCTGTTCCTGAAAAGGCTTCACTGCAGGCTCTGCAGTATAAAGCTTATTCAGTATAAAAGCTATGATTTTCAGCAGTTATGTGGTTACTATTTAACCTACTTTTAACATCCCTAGTTTAAAAGTAAAACCCTCTTTAGCACTTTTGCTTATTAAGTTAACTGAATAACTAGTACTATATTCTGAGTAACAGTCTGCCACTCCCGGCAACCTCAAAGGGCCCCTTTAAAGAGGAGCCTCATCATCACAACTTATGTTTTCACTTTCTAACCTATAAATCACGTGACGACTGATTTTTCCACTGGTGGTTAGCACTGCTACATGTTCCTCACACCTATGCACATCCCTCATTTTAGCTTGCTGTCTAACTTGGTTATTTCTTCATTCTTTATGCTGGTTTTATTGCATTGGGGACAGAAGTACACATTAATGCTGCTTCAGCACTATCATTTTTACCCCATTATGGCCACACCATATGGCTAGCTGGATCTACACCCAAGAAAGACCAAAGTTACGCTGGTGGGGCAAAATAAAGTATTCTGAAGAGTTTGCAGCTACAATCTAGTTTTGTTTGGTTGATAGTATACAGCCATGATTGGTCACTTCAGTCTGCAGCTACTCCTACTGGCACCGAGTTCTCACATTGCAGCATCCATGAATAATGCTTTCTACCAGCTCAGATAGCTAGGAAACACCATCCAATCCTGATGAAGGATGACCTGGACTTATTCATATCTTCATTCCCACTAAAACAATGAAATATATCTGGGCATGAAGCCTCTTGGGAATGCTGCAGTACTTCCTTATCAACACTAGCTACTGCAAACACATCAAACCTGTCCTCTCCTCAGTACAGAGTGGTGAATGTGGGGGTAACACCATTGTCTGGATTTTCCAGTCATTCAGTTTGCTAAAGTCTTCTCACTGTTGTGGTTAACTCTTTAAATCTAAGGCTAATTGCCTTGCCTATAAGGATTAAAATCATAGACAGTGGGTTAGAGAGTCCCCAGGGATACTAGGGAAGCAAGAAGTGAGTTGCCAGGAGAGCCAATGGACACAGAGTGTGGGTTTCTGAATTGGAAATAGTGGTCTTCCTGTTCCTATTGTGTGGCCAAAGCAGAGCCTGGGAGGACATGAAATAAGCCATGAAGCCAGGCACAGAGAACCCAGCAACATCCATGTCTAGGGAAGGACTAAGTATTGAATAGGGATGTTAAATTTTGATTAGTCAGCTAATCGAGCAGTTGATGGAATTTCCATTTACTACTAGATTAATCAATGGGGGGGGGGAGCCTTGCTATCCTGCTACATTTCTTTGAAATGTACAAGAGTCACCCACAGCTCCTATATATTTAAAAGTGAGAGGGGCAGCGGGAACCTGCGCCAGGGGAAACCAAAGCAGTCCCTGCTCTCACCGTTTCCCCTCTACGCCTCTTCCTTTGAAATGTACAAGAGTCACAGACAGCTCGTTTACATTTCAAAGGAAGAGGAACAGCAGTTGGGACCGGTGTGAGAGGGATTGTTTTAATCACTGCTTGTGCTGTTTCCCTGCTGCCTTCTACCTCCTCTGTTCCACGTGGAGACAGTGCTGGGGAGGACAGGGGAAACTGGCTTTGAAGTTGGCTCCCCCCAGCACCAGCTCCTGCTCCCCTCTCCCTTTGCTGACTATCAGAGAGAAGCAGCAAAGGCTGGGGAAACAATTACTTGAATTCCTATTCAACTACCTGATAAGCATAGATATGAAGTTGCAGATGTGAGTAAAACAGGAGATGATTGGTTAGTCAGATGCAATTAGGTTATTTCCTTTATGTTTCGGGCTTGTTGGACTTCTCTCTATTGAGCATCTATAACAACTACTCCCTTAAAGTGTAACTTTTCAAACTCAATCCCAGGAAATCAGTTCTCTGATTTTAATCCTTTCAGTTGTTCTGTAACACCTAGCAACCATGCAATGTTTTCTCAAGTTTTTTTTTTGTTTTTTTAAATAAAAACCACCCTTTTAAGATCATGATCTGATTCCTGGGTTCTAGAAGGTGGGAGATTCTGTGTGCATGTGTCTAAGACAGAAAAGACAAGTTACTAAGAGAAGAAGTTAAAGTTTAAGCTCTCTCCAAAAAGAATGGTTAAAAGAGGTTGAGGGTACCTCACAGGAAGGAATTCCCAAATGCACCTTCCTGGTTTTCCAAAGGTATTTTTGCATTTGGGTGGTAGCAGCGATACCAATCCAAAGCCAGGGAATCTGTACCCTTGGGGAGTTTTTAAACACAAGCTCTTAGTGGCAAGGTATTTTAAAGTCTCTTGCAGGCCTCCACTTTCTACACTCAGAGTGCCAGAATGGGGAACAGCCTTCACAGCTGGCTTCCCATAGAACACTGAATCAAAGTCAAGGTCTCTGTCCTGATCTTCAAGTCACATGGGCCCAGGTCACTGAGTAACTAAAAGATCAATTAAACCTCTGAGATGAAAACCACAAGTGATAGCTTAACTCTTCTAGCACACTGTAGAAAATTGGATTAAGGATGAAGTTCCATGGTGCAGAAGACAGAACTTTCTCCAGGGCAGTCTCAGATTGAGAAGTGAAAACCTAAAAAGGAACTAAAATTCATCATAAACTTCACCAGCTTCCACTCCAAGCGCAAGGCCTACTTCTTTAAACTTTGCCTTTTCTAGCATACATATGGCAACATGTATTTGTGTATAAGACGACATTACAGCAACACACTTCTCCCCTGGGGATAGAATGGGATCTTCCTCTTGACAGATGTAGTCACCTTGCTTATTATTCAGGTTCTATGGTGATCAGTGCAGTATAAGAACTTATATAGAACAGTTAAGTTTGACAACAGGCATCTCCCAGGTCCTCCTAACCTGGAGTGAAAGTGGTTGATCCCAGCGACACAAGGCAGAAAACCAAGCTCAACATCAGTCATGTCAAACTATGGTACATGTTGGTAGATGCTAGACAGCATGCTTTGTTACGTTAGATAGTCAACTTTGTTGACTGCAGCCCTACCAGGGAGATAACTGTTTTCATCACAGCTTGAAGACATGACACCATGGACAAGCACAACTCATTTCATGGTATCAACAACCAAATCCTTGTTCAAACTAGGTCAGAAGTCCTTTTCAAAACACAGTTCTAGCCAGATGCCATTTTCAATCAATACACTGTGCAATTACAAGCTGAGTTGCATCTGGTTTTAGCAGCCATGCTATGAATTAGCTGAGGAAAGTCTAAGAATTGTAAGCAATACAAATCCCTGCTCACACTGGACATAGAAAGTGTTCTAATACTAAGGAAGGATAATCACTTATTTCTTTCTGAACAGTGTCATCGTTACATACAAATTTCTGTATTGCCATTCAGTATAGCTGTTGTAGCTGGCAGAGGCGATTCAATATGAAGGGTGTTCCCCCTACATTCATAATTAACCCCACAAAAGCCAATTTAACAGATTAGAAAAGTGGTCACCAACCAGTCGATCGGGATCTACTGGTAGATCCTGGAGGCTCTGACAGGTGATCTTGACTGGTGTGGCCAAGAGGCTATCAAGTGCTGGCACTTCAGCTGCCCCTCCCCTCAACTGCTGCACATTCCCTTTGCCTTAGAGCTGCCCCTGCCTTCCTGCACTTGCTGGGCAGGGCAGGAAGAGGAGAGGGTGCTAATGGCAGGGTGCCCTCTTATCTCTACAGTATGGAGGGGGGCACAACAGGTCTTGGGATGGAGGGAGTTTGCTGGCTTCTTTTGAGAGTGGTGCAGGGCCAGGGCACGGGTGAGAGCCTGCCTTAGCCCCACTGCACCACCTGTGGAAAGCAGTGTCCAGCTGGAGCCTGTATCCTGAACCCCTGCCCTAGTCATAAACCCCTTCCTGGACCCCAAGCCCCTGCCCAAGCCCTGAGGCTCCCCCGGACCAAATTTCCTTACAGAAGCTATACATTGAACCCCCTCCTACACCCCAACTCCCTGCCCCAGGCTCAGATCAGAGCAACTCCAAATCCCTTAACTCAAGACCAGAGTCTGCACTCAACCCTCTGCCCTTGCTTGATGAAAGGGAGGAAGGATGGGAGAGTGAGGGAGGATGGAGTGAGCAGGGGTGAGGCCTTGGAGAAGGAG